AGATTTCATAGAGAAGAGTATAGTGTTGAATTATTAGGTCTATATTAGGAATTATTATGTTCATATTATAACTTTTTTCAAGAATTTATTTTCATGTATCTGTTATTCTGATAATGATTTTTTATTTAACAATTAAGAAATAAAGTATATTTTTGTCATAAATGTCACGTGTAATGATGTAATATAATCGCCTGACAATTCTGTATTATATCTTAATTGTATATATATTGAACAAATGCATTATGAATTAATATAAAAATTCTATTATTTCTCCTGAGCGCTTTACACCAGAAACTAAAAATACTTTTATATCTATAAACTACCTTTACCTGTAACTGCAGTCAAATGCATATTTTTTGCAAATACAAACTTACATATATGTTTTCACAAGCTTTTTCACCCGCTTCACCTGCCTCAATAACGGAAGAAATTTTTTCTCGAACAATATCTAACATGGTTAAGAATTTTAATACAGAGGAGTTTATCGATTATTTAAAAAGAAAAAACTTAAAACTTGATAAAGATGATATTAAAATTCTTCATAAAGAGAAAATTTCTGGTCTTGCCTTTCTCAAGTTAACTAAGAAAGATTTTCACAGTATTGACCTCGCATTAGGTCTTACAACAGTTTTTACAGAATTTATTAAAGGTCTCAGCCAAAAATTACGAAACTACTTCTCACTTAAAACTTTCGATGACTTGAAGGAAATGTTATATAGAAATAAGGTTAATAGGAAAAATATTATAAATATCAAGCAGTTTACTTCCAATAGGTAATTAATTATTTTTCAAAACTGACTAAATAGCTATATTAACTTTATTTTTCTCTATAGTTTTTGAGAAGATTAGTGATAATGATAAAGCATTCGAATACTGCATAGAAAATATAATCTTAAAAATTTCAAATGTGAAAATTATGACTGATGCCAATGAGGTGACGTGTTATAAATTTATTTCATCAATACTTTATACATCCATTGCTATAGCTAAAAAATTTACTTCCTAAGATATATTTATAGTATTTCAAAATGATATTTCTGGTAAAGACACGACAGGCTGAGTAGACTACGTAATCAAAAGTCTAAAAGATCTTCTTTACATTACTAAAAGGAAAATACGTAATATTAAGATTGAATATGCCCAGGTAGGACTGTTTGTCTTCTTAGTTTATTGGCTTTAAAATAAGAAAACTAAAGAGTGATGTATTATATTTTTTAGAATTTGACGTAACTTGAAAGTGTGTTTCAAACAAATAAAAAAAAATGAATGGCAGATCAAGCGTTTAATGAAGATTATTTTAACTATCTTTATAGCATTGTGACTACAAATACAGAGTGGCATTTTATAATATATACTCCAGATGGTATTTTTTATACAAGTGGTAGTGAATACCAAATTAATCTTATAAAGACTAATCAAAGAAAATCCTGATTTACTTTGAAACAGTATGAAAAGGGTATTAAGTATAATTGTTGGGCTACTGAAAGATAGGGTTAATTTTAATAGTTCTTCAACTAATAAGAAGACTAAAATTGAAAAATTAATCAACAAATAATATGTATCACGGACTATGTCCTGAACTTTGTATTTATTTTTTGCATATATTAATAAAAAAATTTCTTGACAATTTTTAGTGACGGCCTGTCACCTAAAAATATGTGATATATTTTATTTTGAATAGTTATATACAGTGTATTAATTATATATATAGATTATGTTATCTGAGTTTGAATTATTAAAACAGCGTATCACTGAGCTTGAGGCTGAGAATATTAAGATTGCAAAGCTCAGAAAGGAGAATGCAGAACTTAGAAAGAAGAATACAGATTTTAAAATAAAGTTCACTAACTTTGAGGTTGAGAAAGTTGAACTTAAACGTAGGATTGCTGAGACTCTAAAAATGACTGAAAAAGAGAAAATGAAGCGTAATACTAAAAACATCAAACTCAAGGCCATAATTAAGGAGTTAGGAAAAAATAATACTAAAAAGAACATTAAACTTAGAGATAGAATCACGAAAGTGAAATAGAAGCAGATACTAAATGATAATATTACTATGGTAACCAATTCTTCTAATAACAGCTCGCCTAACTTCAATTTGCTTACAGATCAGTTACTTATAAAAATGAATACTTCATTACCTGAAGAATTGATACCAGAAGGGTTATTAAAACTAGTTATTAATATACTTATTATAGATCAATGTGATCAAACATGCTTAAAAAATATAAAAACAGATGCTTTCTTGAATGAAATACACAAAAAAAAGGTTAGTAATGAGATTAGACAAAGAAATTAAAAGCGCTAAGCCAAAAGAAAGAAACTTTATACTGAAAGCATAGCATCTTCAGGACAAGAGATTGTGAAGCAATTTTGTCAGAACAGTCATAAGAAAAAAGGTGTTAAGAAAATTGCCCAAGTGATAATTGATGATATTCAGAATGATGTAAAATATCAAGAGCCAATTTTTTCTGGTTCATCTTCACATGAGACTGAAATTTCAGCAACGACCTGTCACCCAAAATGCTCTTCTTTATCTCTGTTTGATTTAGTATACCTATTTAATAAAATATCAGATGCTGAGTATCGCACTAAAAAAACCAATAAGAAAGAAATCTTATGCTAGATTAACTTTAGAAAAAAATTCATATATCAGTATAATGATATCGTAAAAAATAGCAATGGTAAAATCAGAGAGAAAAAAGCAAAAGGTATAATTTATGATAAGATGTTAGAACACCTTGCCACTATTCGTGAGAAGAGATCAAAGGAAATAGGTATACAGCTTCCAAAAATCTCCTATAGTTCTCTAACTAGAAGGACTCAAAGGTTTATGAAGCTTATTAGAATATTCAAGAAAATAGGTATAGATAAAATTAAGTATCTTAGTGCATATAGTCCTAATTCTATTTCAGAGTTGACTAATGATCAAATTCAAGAGATCATAAATAATTCTGCAAAGTAGAACGATTTTTTAACTCCTAAAATTTCAGCCAAAAATCTTGAGACTAGCGAAAAAATCTTATCTAAAGTGAATGTATCAACTACACCCAAATTAGCTTAGGTAAGCATCTCAACTACATCTATTCCTTCAACCTATGTCTCTAATAATTCTTTAAATGATTCCTCTAGAAACAGTTCAAAGAATATACCCAAAGCTAATAATGATTTATATTATGAAACTAATGAAGTTAAGGGATTCCTCAGGGACTAGGCAGATGATGATAGTAATTGTAGTCATGATAATAATTCTGAAGAAAAGATATCAGATGATTTGAACTTGTATAATGATGATAGATATAATAGATATGATGAATATAATAAATATGATGAATATGATAGAGGTTATTACTATCGTGATAGAAGATATGAAAGAAAAGCTCACTAATGATGAGTCCTATTATCTCTTTGATAACCTCTTGCTGAAAGTACTAAAGGTAGAAAAAGAATTGAATATAATATACTTGCATAGACTAGATTGATTATTATATAGGTTATTTCTTTTTTTTCAAATCACGTGGATAGCTTAGATAGCATATACCGTATTTCTCTGAAAATAAACACTCTCTGAAAATAAGCATCACCAAGATTTATTAGTACCCAAAAATAAGCATCCCATAATTTATTCAATTAAAATCTGATTATTATTTATTGTTATTTCGGCACTTATATATATATTATATAACTCATTGTAAAAAATGTTTATTTCAATAATTTTAAATGCTATCGCTTTAATCACTATTAATGCTATTATTATTATCAATGCTATCGTTATCATCATAATCACTATTAATATATATAACATCCAAATTATTATCTTCATTTTTGTCTGCACTCTCATCTATACTCTTATATTCACTTTCATCTTCGCTATTATCTTCACTCTCATCAAATCCATCTAAAAAATTTGATATCTTACATTTTTTAAAGGACCTAATAATAATTTGTCTAAAATTACCTCTCAAGAATGTTTGACCTACAAGTAAATATCACTTAATTTTGTCTGACGAAGGTTTTCTGCAGAAGTTGTTCCTGCATCACTCTTAAACATCTAGCTATATTATTCTCTTCGTAGATTTTCTTTAAATAGTTTATTGATTGCAACATTAAGTGGTTGACAAATGGGGCCTTTGCAATAGAAAGGGAGGAAACTCCAAAAAAATTAAAATTTTAGTTTATAAGCCAAAAATGTTT